TCCTCGCAGCCTGATGGGACTTGTACCAGCAACCTCTTGCCTCCCGAGGTCCTGTTACCTGCATGCGCGTCAGGACAGAGCCCTCTGAGCCACCAGCCTCCCTCTCACGTGGTGCTGTCCTGCCCTTTTTTGCTTCATAATTTCCAGTTAAAGCTCAGCTGTATTTTTTTATGTCTATTCCACTCATCACAAATACTTTTAATAAGCAAATTTCCCTCCTTCATTTGCTGAATTTTATGTCTTCGCTATTCCTTGATGAGAATTGACTGGGATCATTCCTAGGCTTTGACACTGATTCCTTGTCCTCTCAGGGGCTCACAGAGCACGGCCCAGAAAGGACTAACGGAGCCAGCGCTGTAGCAGGACCTCCTCTACTGGAGACAGCCCCTAAGACCCTCCACCTGCAGCGGGTGGTCAGTGTGTGTGCAGTGAAAGAGTAGAGATTCTGATGTTGAACTGAGGGGAACGTAAAGAGGGAAGACCTCTCCAGAAGGTGCAGGTAGGAACGGGAGCAAGCATCCTCCTAAGCAATCTTTCCTTCTTTACCTTCCACCACCTGAACTTCTGGAAGCAGACACCTGGACCACCTGCACCTTGGCAGAAGGAAGGAGCCTGGTCAAGAGAATAAAAAGAGGCACACTCCACTGTAAGCCTCACACTCCACTGTAAGCTTCTCATTTTCCCTCCCTGGGGAGGCAATGACAGTAATGGATTTCAGCAGTTAATTGACTTAATGAGTGGAACTCCTTCAATCCACCAAAGGCCTCAATACAACAAACAAACAAAAAAACTGGAGGGAGAGAAAATTCTTTCCTCTGTCTAACTGCTGGAGCTGGGCACTGGGCTCTCCCGCCCTCAGACTGAGACTCACACCTTTGGTTGTCCAGTCCTGTGGACTTGGACTAGAACGCATATCATCAGTTCTGGTTCTCAGGCCTCAGAATCAAACTAGAATGGCATCACCAGCTTTCCTGGGTCTCCAGATTGCAGACAAAAGATTGTGGAACTTCTCAGCCTCCATCATCACCTGAGTCAATTCCTTACAATAAACTTCTCTCTGTCTCTGTTTATCTTGGGAGATAAATGGATAGGGAGATAGAAGGATGAATGGATGAATATATACCTAGATAGATCCCTTTATAGTAGGTGGCAACTGGGGAGGGTCTTCCTGGAGGAGGGTGCATGAACATAAAGGGAAGCCCTAGTGCTGGACCCTGTCTGTCCCCTGCAGGTTGTTCGGCTCTGCTGAGTGGAGGAACACCAGGGTTCTTCATCTCCAGTCAAATTAGATAAAACAACATGGACACACGTGTAGTGGTTTTAAGGAGCAGAGAGTTTAATAGGCAAGAAAGAAGGGAGAAGAAAGAAGGAAGAAGCTCCCTTGTACAGAGACAGAGGGAGGAGGCTCCAATGCCAGGAAAGGAGACCCCACATGCCATGGAAAAATGGCTGCTTAAATGAATAGGCTGGAGGAGGTGGTGTCTAATTTGCATAGGGCTCAGGGGATTGGCTTGAACAGGCATGTCACTCACATAGCCTGCAGAAACACTGGCCCTCCCACCCTAGTCTTTTAATATGCAAATGCAGGGCGCCATGATGTTCTGCACACATGGGGCTATGTGGGGGCGGCCATGTTGCTGTTAAGCACGCACGCACACACACATACACACACACACACACACACACACCCCCAAAGTGCACCTATTATGTTTGGGTTTGGCTTCTCAATCAACCACATGGGAGAGTGAAAAGAAAACTCGCAAACTTCTTTGTGTTTTCTTCAGGTTTGAAGAGCCAACTATAAGCTATATTGTTTTGCTTTTGAAAGACACTGGATTTAGTACCAGCTGGAGTGCTTTAGCAACCTCTCTGCCCCTTGTTATCCATGTGACCCTTGGCAACCTTCCTGGTCCTCAGTTTTCTTGTCCTCCCGCCGTGGGGATGTCAGAGGCATCTCCACGAGGTAACACACTAAAAAAATGCTGCAAGTCCACAGTACTGGGTAGAGAGAAATTTATTGCTATTATTGTTGTTCTCTTTCACCCCAGAAGGACAGCTTGATCTTTCCCTTAGGGAAATGCTTTCAAATAAAAAATGATTATGTTTTGGAGCCTTAGCAAAATTGACATGGAGACTTGGGTAACTTGCATCAGGAGGGGGAAGAAGAGAGCCAGTGGCCTTTTGTTTATGGGATCACAGATAAGCGAATGTTTGAGGGAAGGCTCCACAGAAGCCCTCTGCCCCACATACAGCTCTGGTTATCCACCAGTGAACCCCCACAAGTGTTCAGTGGTGGCCTGTATCACTAAGAGCTTCTGTGCTGTTCCTCCCTGGGCATCTGCGGTTCTGCTGAGAAGTCTACGTGCTTCATCACACAAAACCCCACTGCAGCCCGGAGCAGTCCCAGGCACATAAATGCCCCCACTTACTTGGGAAGACTACATCTTGGCAGGGTAAGGCCTTTTACACATCCCCAAGGCCAGGAAGACAAAGGACTAGGCCCAGGAGCCCCCATGCCTGATACAGTGCTGTGCTGCCCCTCATGAAGGCACCAATGCACGAACCTCCTCACTGCACAGGTGGGGACACTGAGCCTCCAAGAGGAGAAATGATTTCCCCAGACCACCCTGGCAGTCAGTGACCTGAGACCGGTTCCTACTCCTACATCAAGGTCCCTTGGCTACTTGGACTTTCTCAAGAAGTTCTTGTCAAACAGACTTTTCCCAAGTACACCCTGCCATGTGCTCCAGGGCAGCCCCCCACCGCCCACGCTCCACGGTGATTGGGTTAACCCCAGGCTCTTCAGGCTTTTCGTGTCAGGTGATTTACCCCACAGCCAGCTAACCTCGCCTTTCCTAGACTCTCCCTTTCTCCGCCCACTTGCTGCCCGAGTGACACGTTCAGTGCTGTAAATGAGGATGTCATGGTGTGTTCTTAAGTCTTACTGGAAATACAGCCCTTAACGAACAATCGGGTAAACAGCCGGCCCGCCCAGGCGGTGCAGCAGCACTGCTTCATTCAGGACTCCAGTGGCAGTAAAGGCGGGGCCAAGGCGCTTTCCAGCAGCCCTCCCGTCCCTGGGCCAACCCCGCCTGCCTGCTGGCTTCTGGAGCTGCCACACTCAAAACTGGCACCTGGGAGTTGTTCTCCCAGGTGATCACATTCCCTTCAGGGCTGTGCAGAAAAATGGAGGCAGAATACAAATAAAGATGCAGAAAACCAAGACTCTAAACTGAAATTGCATGAATGGCGGCCGAGACATTTGTTTCCTGCCTCGGTAACACAGGTCTGCCATCCACACTGGGCCCATTTAGGATCTCCCTGCCAACTCATGACAAATAAAAATGATTTGCTTGCACAATCACAGTTCAGCCACAGCCCGCAGGAGGACTAAATAGTTTATTGAGAGAAAGAAGTGAAAACTCTTCCTTAGAAATGTGAGGATGGGCGCCCAAATTGGTTTCTTTAAAATATGAGTGAGAAGGAAAATGATGATACCTAAGCATTGAGGCGACGACAAAGTTTGGATAAAGGATGAAAGGAGCCTTCTCCCTTTTATCAAAAAGTTCCCCATCCTTCAGCCCTGCAGAGGATCATGCTGGTGGGAAATGGGCCACTAAGAAGGACCTGAAGGGGAATTTCGAATCAAACCACCAACGATAAATAACAAGTCATCGTAACAATCACTATTCATTTAGCCTTGCTGAGACTCGGAACTGATACCCCAAAATAGACGGTTTTAACAATTCTGAAATGAGGAAGCCTCAGGTCTCTCTGACCTTCCCCTAAACACACTGTCTTTCCCAAAGAAGATGAAGTTTCTTTATCTGCCTAAGACCCAGACCTTCCAAGGAGAGTAATTATCCTTCCTTCCTCTTCGCGCTTATCTTCTCATCCAGGGCGGAAAAGAAGATGGAGACGTGACTGACCCGAGAGGACGCCAAGGATCATCTGAATTCCAGAGAAGCTACTTATAAGGTTGTTTCTGTTCTCTCTAGCAATCATTTATTGCCCCTCAGTAGAATTCCGCTTCTTCCCATTCCCATAATGTTTCATCACAATCCAAGCCCCCATACTTTCTGTAACCCCAAAATGGTGCGTAAGTTTCTGTAGCTCATTGGGAAGTTGGGGCTTCATTCCGAAGGCTCCTGTGCATACATGTGAAATAAGTTTCATGACTTTTCTTCCACTGATCCATCTGCCTCATGCCCCTCAGCAAAACTTTAGGGGCCCAGAGTCTGTGGCCCCCGCAGCCTTAACCCACTAAAATGTAAGCACGCAGAAGGCAAGGAGTCTGTCTTGTTCCCAAAGGGATCTGTAGCCCAAGACAGGCCTTGGCATGTGGCAGCTCAGTGCATGTTTTGTGCAGGCAAGTGAATGCATGATGCTGTTCTGCCTGACACTGTATTTCACACTGTCTGTGTGTCATTATTAAGTCTTTTACACCGCATGAAACAAGTGATTCCCATTTTACAGATGCAGAAAGGGAGGCTTGGGGAGGTTAGGAAACTTTGCCAGGGGTTCTCCGCTATACAGTGGGAGAACTTGGCTAGGAAGCATGGTGAGTCTACTACCAGAGCTCATACAATTAACCATGGCATCCACCTCCCCTCCCTACATGCTACATGCTCGGCCTAGGTCTCCGGACAGGTCCACGGGTCCCTAGGTTCTCTCTTTTATTGGGAAACGGATCCCAGCACCTCTGGAACTGCATGCACAATGGTGTGTGTCATGTGCTTATGAAGGCCGTGCTGCGGAGAGGACCCATGGCCTTCAGATTTTCAGAGACCGGGGATCAGAACAAGTTTAAGAATCACTGTCCTGGTTTCAGCACTGAAAATCCCATGTCCTGGGATGCCCGCTGTTGGCTGCAGACAGCGTAGGTCCCCAGAGGAGAAGACTGAATCTACATTCCTGGCGATTCTCCTATCTCAGCAGGAGGGAAAAGGCTATGGGAGGTGGGAACAGTACAAAGCTCAGGCTGGGGGAAGGCTGGGGAGGAAGTGCTGGGACAGAACGAGGTGATTGTGACAGCAGCTCTTCGACGTTCCGGGCAGAGGTTCCAATGCCAGATCCCTGCAGAAGGACCTGCCTTCCTGCTTTGCCTTTAGTTGACACCACCATTTCTGCGGCAAGTTGAGGAAGAAGCACCAGGCAGTGGAGGTTTCTGAGGAGTGAAGGGTAGTCAGGGAGACTCCCTCACCCCAAAGTCTGTGCTGATGTCTGTTTAGGTGAGTACCTAGGTCATGTGGGGTGATGACCTCTGACGTTGAGCTGGCATCATCCATAGTTCGTGAGCAATTCTCCCTCCCCCAACCACTGGGTGGTCCCCAGGAACCCCCAAGAACAGCCCCCCTGAGACCATCAGGTCTGGACAGGTCAGACTCTGAGGCCCACAGTGAGTAGCTTGCAAAAGCATCCTGAAAGTGTCCCAAAGCCAGTAGAATGTCACAAAGCCAACAGTCAGGAACATGAAGTGCATTTGATGCCCATGGGAACTACACTCTGAGCGAGATATCTGGAGTGTGCTCCAGGGCCAAGCTCCTCTGTGACAGATGAGGGGACGGGGCTCTGAGATCACCCAGGCCTCTGCCTCAAGCCCAGGGAGGCCCATGTCTGGCAACTGGAATCAATCAGCATTTACAGCTAGCTACAGCCTGCTAAGCCAAGACAATGAGGAAGGGCTGGCCTGACACATTTCCTCCACCGGCTGGACAATGCCTAGAACCTCCCAGGAGAGCCTGGGCTACCTTGAGCCATATACCCCAGCAGTCCTATGGCCGGCACAGCCATGAGTCAGTTTTGGGGATTACAAGGGGGTTGCTGGATGCTTCCTCCTGCGCCTGTCTCTTGTTTCCTAAATTGACCGTGCTTTGTCCATGAAGCGCTTTGGAATGTGTGGTTCCCGCTTCCCAAGCTGCTTTTTACCGTAAAGACCATGCAGCTCCAGACTTCTAGAAACAACGGTGGGGAATTATAGGTATAACTCCTTAGAGAGGCAGTTCTCCCAAAGCGAGCCCTCCTTCCTAAAAGCGGCCACACTTGTTGCCCAAGCCCCACTGGGTCCTGTCTTCTGTTCACATCCAGCAAGGCAAGGAGAGCATGGACAATGGTGTCAGAACTTCTCCCTTTTGAACATTCGCCTCTACAGAACCTGGCCAGGGCCATGGGATGCCCTGTTTGGCCACCTGAGACCAGAATCCACTGGGATCTGTAAGAAGTGACCACTGACATTGAAGATGGCACTGGCCATCTCCAGAAGGGGCAGGTCATCTGACTCACTGGCCACACACTTTGCCTGGGGAAGAAAGCCCAAGGCTACTTGAATGGAGAAATGGCATTTATGCTAAATTAGGTGGTTTACAGACCTAAGGCCAAAAAGTAGCCACAGGGCTCCCTTCCCTCTCTGCAAAATTCGTAGGATGCAAAAGACACCCCCACCCACCAGCCTCTTCAATTCCAGGCAGGACCCAGCCCTGTGCCTGGCTGTCATCGAGGGCACCAGGCTGGTGTTTAGGCAACAAACCAGCTTTCAAAGTGACAGCAAATTGCTGTGACTCACCTGATCTGATTCAAATGAGGGCTTAGGTGGATTTAGAGATAGCTGATTGCCTCAGATTAATGCACAATTGCCTCAGAAAGTACTTTACCTCTGGGAGTTTCAGGTACTAAAGAGAACAAAGTATTTGCATTAAACTCCAAACTGGGGCAGGGGCAGACTTTCCCTTGCTGGTAGGACCCAGTGAAGGCTGACCCCAGGCACCTGACTCTTCTGTGATTGGTCCCTTCCCACTTCCCTGCCCCAGCCCCTCTGAGCATAATTCATTTCATTTCATAGATGAAAAGGACCCTCGAAATCGTGACTTGGTCTCCTCAGTCCCGCCCCTAATGAATGGAGCCCCATGTCTGTCTGTGTTCTTCTTCACCATGAATTTTTTTCCGTTTCCTGCGACTTTTGTTGCTGTGAAGTTCTTCCTGGTCCTGGGTCACAACTGACCACCTTCCAGCCCCAGTCACCTTTCATGGTGAAAGTCAACTCCGCTTCTCACGGGATGTTCCTTCACAGATGTGAACAGCTCTCTCTGCCTTGTCTTTTAAAGACCCAAGCCCTGAACCCCTCCAGGGGCTACCAAACCGCAGTTCCGAAGCTCTTCTAGTCTTATCCATCCTCCCTCAGGCTTGTTCTGTTGGAGGCCTCCTTCTCAGAGTGTAGCAGCCACACCAGGGGTGGACTCAGCCTCCCTCGTTTCAGCCATTATTTAATCTAAAGTCACACTGGCTTTTTGGCAGCTTGTCCCAATGGTGACTCATAATGAGATTCATTTAGAGTCAACCAAAACTCTTATAGAGGACACTGTCTGGACACATTTGTTGAGTTTTGGAGCGAAATGCCCGACTTTTACATTTGTCCCTGTTAAATTTCTCCTTTTTAATCTGGCCCATCATTCCTTCCCTGTCATTCCTATGGTTTTCTGTCATTTGGAAACCTGTTAAAAGTGCCTTCTGTCGATTGATCCAGGTAAGGTAAAGCGGCTGCTAAAAGACCACACCGGCCAAAGATCAGGACTCACACGTTCCTATACCCGGGGACCCTTTGAATATCTGCCCAGCAAGGAAACCACTGGCACACTGCAGCATGTGTGCTGGAAGATTCCAAATCAGTGGACAACAGAGCTCCTGTCCTTGGGAAGAAGGGCTAAGTGAGCCCTGAAAACCAAGTCATCAACCGATGACCAGAGAAACAGAACGTGGTCCAGACATACCATGAAATACAGTCCAGCCATGAAAAGGAACGAAGCACCTACGCATGCTACAGCCTGGCGAGCCTTGAAAAGTTACGGTGGGTGAAAGAAGCCAGTGGCAGAAGAGCACATATTTTATGATTCCATGTAGAGGATTTGCCACAATAGGGAAATCCCTAGAAACAGAGAAAGCACCTTCAGTGGGTGTGGGTGCCAGGGGCTGGGGGTAGGGGGAATGGGGAGTGACTGCTAATGGGTACAAGATTTATTTTTCGAGTGACAGAGATGTTCAGGAATTAGACCATGGTGATGGTTGCCCAACAATACAATGAATGAACTCAAAACCACTGAACTGGACACCTTAAGATGGTTAAAATAGTGGATGTTATGGTATGTTAATTATACCTTCATTTTGAAAAAGAGCAGTAGCCTGTCTTCCTGCTCACTCCTGGACAGTGGAGAAGAAAGGAAAGGAAGAAGGTCAACAACAAATCCTTTCCTGGGTTCCCAGCTGAGGAGCTTTGCCGAGGGCGGGGAGGGCCTGGGGGGGGCGCTCTCTGGGCGGCCGGGGGTTGCTTTTCCACCTAAAGGGCCTGTTCCCCATGTCCCTCCTGGCGCATCCTGAGCTTCCCCTGGGCTGCGGTCCTGGGACCTCACCCACTCTTCTGCCCTTCACCTGGAGCCGCGATGGGAACTGGGCCTCCCTGGGCTGCTGCTCTGCCTTGGAAGGAGGTGGGGAACACGAGCTTGGCTCTTCAGCACCCGTCCTGTGTCTGTGTGCAGGGCAAAGGCTTTAGCGATCTCCTGCCTGGCTCAGGTCCCCTCCTCTACAGGGCACGCCTTCCTCTGGCCCAGGCTCCATTCGGAGGAATTCGGGCGCGGCACAGCGTCAGGACCCAGTGACATCAGCAGCAGGAGTCACCTGGGGGGACCCCGAGCTGGCCTCAGAGCGTGGGCGGGAAGAGGAGCCAGAAACTGTACAGTGGTGGGGAGGGGGTTCGAATAAAGTGTGCAAAAATCACCGAGGAGAAGAGAAGCAACTGGGGCTGTTTCAGAAAAAAAATAAATAAATCCTCTGCCAGTTGGAAGCGCATTGCTTTCAAGTCAGCCTGGCTGATTCCCGCGTGGGCGCGCGGCTCTGGCTCTGGCGACCTGCTGGGGAGCGTGGGTGGCGTTCCCAGAACAAAAGTTCAGGCTGCGCAAGAGTCACCCGTGGGAGAGCCCCGGCCCCTCCCACCAGGGACCGCGCCGCCCACCGCGCAGGGCAGTGAGCTCCGCAGCCGCAGCCCGGTAGCCCTGCTGCCAGAGAGAGAGGGGGCAAACATGCACTTCCCCAACACACACACAACAGACAACAGACAAAACATAACGCAAACACACAACAGACAACACAACATACAACAGACAGTACACACTACAAACACAATATACACACAACACAAACAGACACACACAATACACACAGCAGACAATACACACAACACACACTACAAACAACACACAATATACTACACACAACACAACATATAATATACAACACAACACACACTACAGACACCACACATAACAAACCACGCACATCACAAAACACAACAAACAATACACAAACCACACACTACACAACATACACCACACGCAACACACAGCATACACCACACACATGAACCACACAACACACAAACATATACCACACAAACCACACACTACATACACAACACACAAAACAGCAGGAACAACACACACAACAGACCACACACAATATACAACGCACAAGCCACATACAACACACACAACAGATCACACACAACACACAATATACACCACACAAGCCACACGACACACAACAGACTACGCATAATACTCAAAACACACTACAGACAACAGGCAACACACACCACAGGCCACACACAGGCCACACACAACCCACACACAGCATACACCATATACAGCACATAACACACAGCACACACAACACACAAAAAAATACAAACACACAACACACACAATATACCAAACATACCACACACAACACACACCATATACAACACATAACACACACAAAACATACATACAACAGACACACAACAGATGAACCACAACACATACAACAAACCACATTCAATATAAACCACACAAGCACACAACACAGGCCATATACAACACATAACTCACAACACATACACGCAACAGTACAGACACACAATACACAACACAACACATACAACACACAATATACAACACAATACACACAACACACAATATACAACACATACAACAAACCACAACTACACAATATACACCACATACTACACCCAATATACACAAATACACCACATACCACACACAACATGTAACACATACCACACACAACACATACAAATGCATACCACATAGCACAAACACAAGCCACTTACCACACAAACCACACACACAGCACACACCACATATACAACACACAACACAAATCACACACTGCACATACCACACAAATACACATTACACAAAGCACACACACTACACAAAGCAAAATCACCACAGCACAAACCACACATCACACACAACACATGCACTACATATACACCCACATACACACCACACTTCGCACACACATACCCCACACCCCCCTCTCTCTCTCTCCCTGTCTCTGTCTCTCCTCATGGGTTCTCCACCATGGAGAATGTAGGCGAGAGGAGCTGTTTAAGTCGCGGAGCCAATGAGGTATCCATAAAGAAGGAGGGAACACAGAAGCCGGCTCTCTACCAGAAGGGCCAGAGCTCGGGGAGCGCCACTGTCAGCAAGATGGGAACCAGCTTTACGGAGCACTTTGTGTCTTCAAAGAACTTCACCAACATCGACTCATTAGGCCACCCACACCTCTGAGGCACCCTGGTTCTACTTGCCAGAGAGGAGAAAGGTCAATGCTCGCCCCAGGGCACAGAGCAAATTCAAGAGCGGGCAAGAGCCAATGTCCCAGGTGACCTGGCCAGGGAACCTGCTCCTGTCTCATGGAAGGAGTCAAGTAGGCCTGAAGTCAAGGACCAGCTCTCAGGTACTGCAGCGTTAAGGAAGGAGGAAGAGAGGGTGGCCAGTGGCTGCTGACATCATGTCACCTTCTGCCTGTCACCCCAGAGAGCCAAGCTGAACAGGCAGCAGCGTGCCTGTGAGGAGGGGTGGGGCCAGCCTTCCTGGCGCAGCAGCCCCTTCACCCTCTTTTCCTGTGCTGACAAAGAAGGGAGAAGAGGTCTCAGAGAGGCTCTAGGACCGAGTTCCTTCATTCTGCCCTGCTAGGAGGGATTGCATTTTCACGGCATCAACAGTCCTCACTCCCAGGCGAGACTCTTTAATGTATCACGTGGATGAATCTTTCTATATCTCAAAGTTCACATACCAGCCAACAGGGAGCTTGTTTTCATGCTAATACAATGGCAAAGGGAAAATTCTTCTCAAATGAAAGAGCTTTGATATTCTGTATTTCTGTGTGTGTGTGTGTGTGAGAGAGAGAGAGAGACAGAGTGTGTGTGTGTGTGTGTGTGTGTGTGTGTGTGTGTATTTCCCACCCCCCACCCCAAAAATTGCTGGTCCAGGGCTGAATCTCTGTCCTCTCCACAGCCCTATTTGGGGGCCGGCATTCCTCCCCTTGTGAAATGGCTCACACACAGCACTACTTTGTTTCTGAAAGCTTGGCCTTTGGAACTAGAAAGATTGGCTTCACTCATTGTCGAGGTAGAGAAGAACCTGGCTCCTAGGGGCAGCTTTCTGTGCCCCCATCGCTGCCTCCGATCCCAGCACCTAGGAAGCAGCTGAAAAGAGGAACCGTCCAGCCCAAAGCCCAGAGCACCACCAGCGAGCCTGGCTTCCTCACGCACAGCCTGGGCGAGCGGCTCGTCTTAGTCGCGGTGATTGGTTGGGCACATGCTGAGAAGCAAAGAGACGGACGCTCACCTTTTGTTTTCAGAGATTAAAGAGAAGATTTAAAGAATTTGAAGCCGAAAAGACACAGAACAACAGGAACAGCTCCAAGAAACCCAACCTCAGAATGGAACAACTTCGGAAGAGAGAATGAGCATGACCCTGAACTTCGTTCTGAGCCCTTCATTGGAAAGCGTATCCATCTTCATCTTTGCTAAAACTGGAATTTTTAACTAAAATCGTTTCCTAATTGGTACCATGGACATTTTAGCAGCAGGCGCAAACTCAGGGTAGACAAGTCATCTTCAAGGACAGTTTAACTGGGCACGTTGTATTTAGGTCACGTGACCTAAAATGCCGGGTGGGACGACTTACACAAACTCTTCATCCGCATATTTTGCACAGCCACGTCAATCCTGCGTTCTTGTTAGAAGGTGTGGATTGGTATTTTTAATTAGTGGCAGCTGCCTGTAGTATCGAGCCCAGGAGTTCAAATCTGCTTCTGCCATCTAGGCACCAAAGGACCTCAGGCTGATTAACCCCTTCTGGACTCTGGTTCCCAACTCTAAACAAACAATAGTAATGGCACCTCCCTGGGAGGCTTGCTGTAACGATTAAATGAGATGTTGCCACAAAACACTGACCCACAGTAGGCATTCTCTTTGCCCTTGGATTTGTTTTTCCACAATACAAAGTCTATGTATCTTAGAAAAATCAAATGATGATCTGCTTATTTATTGAGCACATTGAAGGGGTGCCTATAAGGTTATTGAAATTAATATTTTTTTGTTTTCTGGGTCTTTTACTTAGAAATAAGGATTGATGTAAGAAAAAAGGGGGAAGGGAGGGATGGAAGGAGAGAGGGAGAAGGAAAGGGAGAAGGAATGGAGGGAGGGAGGAGGGAGAGACCAAGGAATGGAAGGGAGGGAGGGGATACGAAGGGAAGGAAGGGAGAGAGGGAGAGAGAAGGAGAGGAGGGGAGAGAGGAATAAAGGATGAAAGGAAAGGAAGAAAGGAGGGAAGGAAGGAGGGAAGGAAGGAAGAAGGAAGACAGGAAGGAAAGAGGAAAGGAAGAAGGAAGGAGGGAGGGAAGGAATTGAGCCTATTTTAACCAAACAAACACAAAGAACTTAGAATGGCACTAACTCTATTTGTTCCCCATCTCTACACGAAAATCAGAAAGAAACAAATGTCCCCCCGATTTTTGCTTCTTTACCAGACATGCTCGCGAGCCTCTGCCTGGGCAGGCTGCGGCATGTTGCACCTGTTTGCAAAGACCTTCCTTTTCTTGAAACAATACACTGAATAAATACCCCTGGAGTTAGAAATCTGTCAAAGCACCTGAAAAGGGCTGGGAGGGTGCAAAAACTATACTAAAAAAGGCATTACACACAGTAAGAGCTTGCTCAGTCAATATTTGTTGAAGGGATGAATTCTAGCCTCCGCTGATACCTTTGAGCTGTAATGTCTCTTGGCTGCAAAACTGTTCCTCCATTTCAGCTTTCTGTGTTCACGCTGCCACTGCACAGACCAGACCCACCATCTCATGTCCCCTGTTTTATAGGATTCACAGCACATTCTCAGACCACCTGTATCACAGTCATCTGCTAAAGAGGCATATTCCAGGTCTTTCCAAACGCCAAAGGCCAGGGGTTCTGAAGATCAGTAGTTCAGTATGTGATTGGCACTAAATTGGCTTCTTTAGGTGAGGGGAAATGTCTGGTTTCTACAGAGGGGACCAGGGAGTGCTGACCTGGGGCCCCAGTCAGCCTGCACCCTGGGGTGAGGACAGTGGGGAGCCAGGGGCACGATCATTATTCTCTTTCAACCTGAGGGTCTAAGAGACACTGTTTAAGAAGCTTCAAATAAAGGCTTATTATTTAAACTGATAAAACAGCCCGCTAAGAGACCAAAACAGTGACAGCCTCAGTGCTGTATTAGCAGGAGGGAGGAGGAAACCAACCTTCACTTCTCATGGCAGAACTCTACCGATAATGCCAAAAATGAGTATTTTTGAAGCGGTATACATACATTACTTAGCAACCTGGGGTGGATTGCCATTAGAACTAAAAGCAGAAATAGTTACAAGATTTCACTTACAACAGTGATTTCTGTGAAGCTAGCCTGGAGTGGGGTGGCCAGGGCAGGGAACTCTTGTTTTCCACAATAAAATATTTTTATATGGGTTGATTTTTTTCCCCCAGCCATGTCTAAATCACGGAAGAAAGTTAGGGTTTGTGTCTGGAAAGCATCTGGGCTGGTTGAGTCAGTCTCTGGGGTTGGGGCTGGTAGCCCATGAAGGTGACTCCAGAAGGTCCCAAATAAGTCTCTGAGCTGGTGCTGAACCTGGCACCAGGTACCTCTGCAAAGTGAATGAACAAATGAATAAATAATGAGAGAAGAATCAGAGAAGCCAACGCTGGCTGTTTAGTATGCACACGGCTGTGCCAGTCTTGCCCAGTGACCCAAATCGAAAGGTAAAACTGACTGTGCCTTCACCTCAAGGTTCCTCTTCCTCTCCTGCACCCTTTTATTTTTTTAACCTATTCTAATTTCACAATAAGGAAATAATAAAAGTATCGAAAGTTACATCATACATAAACCATTTCCCCAAATGTCCTTGGCTGGCGCCATCACCCAGGAGCTCCCCAAGGTGGCTAGTGATCACAGAAGGTTCCATTGAGACCCCTCAGCAGGCTACACCAAGGACAGCCCTCTCAACCTAAAGAACTTTCTGGTTTAAAAAAAAAAAGAAAGAAAGAAAATCAGTGCTTTTAAGACTTAAATCAAGGTCTTCAACAGAAAAGCCTGAGACAAACAAAAACCAATGATTCTGGTTTTCAACCAAGCTCAAAGAGCCTTTGTGGAAACAAATCAAAGCTCCCGGCTGCCAGCTTATTAGGTTTAATCATCAACCGTGCTTATCAGATCCTTGACTTGTAAGTCCCTTGAAGAAAAAAAGTGCAAAATGATTCCCTTTGTGCTTTGGAGATTGATATCACAGCAGGCCTTGAGGTCAACTGCAGAGGTGGTTTAAGTGGAAATTATAAGCAGGAAACAAGACGCACTCATTGGATTTCTTCAAGTTGAGCAGAGAAGACCTCCTGGGCGCCACATGTCAGCTTTACCTGCTAGAAACACACACTCACCTTGCGGTCCACGACCCTGGAAAGGGGAACCCCTTGAATTGGTTGGGTTTTGCTTCCCTTGGCTAATTCTTCACTATGGTTTAGAGATTCTGGGTCTTCCGGTGGCATTTGACTCAATCAAGGTGACCAGCCATCTGGTGAAACTGTCTCTTCCAACCTGATATACCCAAGTGCTATGGTTCCAATTTCAACATTCCCTCCCAGGGATAGCAAACAAGATCTAAGGGTAGATAACGACAAAAATATGGCAAACAGTTGACATTACCACCCACGAACCTGCGTTAAGTCAGGTTGGTTCGCTGGCACCGTGAAGCCAGCCATGGCACACCGTCTGACTCAGAAATGAAATACACAGCAGCCAAAGAGGAAAGCAAAGGACAGACTAAGCCTCCACTGAAGCTGCTCAGATAGACCAGAGGAAGATGCCATCCCACACCCAGCTCAGCCTCTTCCCACCTTTCTTCTTCGTCCTTCTCTCTGGATCTCACATTTTAGTTCTCACACTCTTCTCTCCCATTCCCCGGGGACACCCTCTTGCTTGCTCTCTTCCTGTTAATGTAGCAGTAGTTCTCAAACCTTCCCATGGAAAATCCCACCAGTTTCTTCCTTCCTAGGACCCTCTCCTTTCCTTTCCCTATACCAAAAGATCAAGACCAAACTGGCATTATAGAATGGGGGACCTGGAGAGTGGAGTCGGAAAGAGACTGGGATTATCGGTGCACAAAATACGTGGTTCCTGGAACACTATGAATATCGTGTTGACGGCCTGCAATGTGTTGGCCGCCATATTAAATTACTGAGTTGAACAGGTGTCTACATTGGGCTTTTCTAAGTGCATTCTGAGGACACTCTTCTAGGGAAATGCTTCTTACTAAGAACATTTGATGGTTAAATACATTCGGAAAATGTGTCATCTCTTATTCATCCTCTGAAGACTCCCAGTACACATTACATTTTTGATAATTCCAGCAATAGATATACTTATTTGTCATTGGTTAACCCAGTATTTCCCTCACTTTTTTTTTTTTTTTTTTGAGACAGGCTAAGCTCACTGCAACCTCTGCTTCTTGGGCTCCAGTGCTCCTCCTGCCTCATCCTCCCAATTAACTGGGACTACAGGTGCACTCCACCACCCATGGCTGATTTTTGTATTATTTGTAGTGACGGTGTCTCACTCTATTGCCCAGGCGACAAACTTATTTGATCACCAAACATACTTGATCATGGAAAAAGAAGCAGCTAATGTCAGCATCACCCCTGGCCGACATGGATCTTCAGGATGGGAGTCATCAAAGTGCAGATGTTCATTTGTGTTGGCTCTGGAGCCCTGGGCAGGCACTCACCCTGATTTACTGGGTTGTTTGTGGTGGTGTAGCTTGATGATTCTTGCAGGACGTTTTCCTCCCCAGGAACAGAGGCTAGGAAAAGATAAGCTAGGGAGACAATTCAGGGATGGACAGTTGTGTAAACACAGAACGTTTAAAAAGAAAAATCAGCAGAATCATTTTGTTGCTACTGCATGGGATTCCTTTCCAAAAACTACTCATGGCTTTTAAAAAGCTCAAAGATCCTTTCGTTTGCTTTCTTACACTCCCATTCCTCAGAGCCCCCCCCACCCCCACCCCTTCCTTAGCATCATGGTTTCTTAAATGGAATGATCTTCTCATGGTCCACAGTCCTAGGAGAGGAATGGAGACCCCTCCAGCCCCGAGCCAGCCTCCCACGTCTGACACTGGGGCTGCTATTTTGAAGGGTGCTTCGAGATCTGCAGCTCCAGGCATTTTGTTATTTTGCTATTTGCTTTTGGAACTTCTTAAAACGAACCTCAAAGACGAGAAAACTCCTGTTTGAAATGAATTCCTTTTAGAATCCAAGAAATGACTCATAGAGGCTGTTTTGGCATTTATGTTCCCTGTTAAGATGATTAAGCTCATAAATTCTATTTTTGAAATGCAGTCTTTGTACCCCGAATATTTTTCCAGAACAACAACAACAAAAAAAAAACCTGAGATGGAGGTGGGGGAGGAACGATACTCTATTTACATGTTTGCTGTGATTTAAATACACGCTGGCGCCTACTTAGACTTTTGAATTTTATCATCTATTTTTCCCACATGATTAAAGAGCTTGGGCAATTTTCTTCAGTAAAGTTGCTTAAAATGCTCTTATTCTAAAGAAGAAACTGACTTATAAAAATATTCCTAGCTCCTACGAACAAGCTCACGTCTTGTGCACATATGAGCTAGTAAGATTAAAAACTCTGTTTTCACCCAAATGTCCGATGACCAATGAATGAATAAAAAAAATGTGGAATAGTATTCAGCCTTAAAAAGGAATAAAATTCTGATACTTGTTCCAAGTAGGAATATATCTTGAGGACTCTGGGAGCACACTTTTAGAAATACCAGTGGCCTGGGTCTTCCCCATCCTGTCTTTGATTATACGAACACTGCTGCTCCCAAAACAGCCAAGTTACTCTCAAAACTGAAGCTTGGCTTGACCCAAGCCCTCCTTCAATCACAAAACTGGCGCCGTTCCAACTGAGTTAGGCGGCTTCCTTAGGGCCATGCAACGATCTGTCTTTGCAGGGGCAGGTGCAGCCTTCGTCTTGGGAAAAAAGTCTCAACTGTAGAAATGTGATGGCCCCGAGATTTGTTTTAAGTTATATAAGTTTTACGCACCGACGCCTTTGTTCTTGTGTAATAAACTGTCAACTGCAGCATGTTCAAAGTAGCTCGACCCTCTCTTTGGTCATAAAATTAATCCTAATCTAAAAACCACTCTTTCATTTTTAATTGCATGGCAAGCCCAAGTTTTTAAGAAGCGTTTTGTTGTTCGGTACTTTTGATAGGACCTATAAAGCAGCGCGGCTCGAGATAAAGGACATGGTGTGCGCCTCTTCCAGAACAACGAGCGGCACTGCTTCTTTTTAACTTTTAAGTTCGGGGGTACATGTGCAGGTTTGTTATGTATGTAAACTTGAGTTACAGACATTTATTGTACAGATTATTTCATCACCCAGGTATCAGGCCTGGTATCCATTAGTTATTTTTCCTGATCCTCTCCCTCCTCCCACCCTCCACCCCCAAGTAGGCCCCAGTGTGTGTTGTTCCTCTCTATGTGTCCATGTGTTCTCATCATTTAGCTCCCACCTATAAGTGAAAACATGCAGTTATTTGGTTTTCTCTTCCTGTATTAGCTTGCTAAAAATAATGGCCTCCAGTTCCATCTACGTTCCTGCAAATAATATGATCTCATTCTTCTTTACGGCTGCATAGTATTCCATGGTATATATGTTTTTATCCAGTGATGGGCATTTAGGTTGATTCTGTATCTTTGCTATTGTGACTACTGCTGCAATGAACATACACGTGCATATGTCTTTATGACAGAACAATTTCTATTTCTTTGGTTATATACCCAGTGTTGGGATTGCTGTGTTGAATGGTAGCTCTGTTTTCAGCTCTTTGAGGAACCACCACACTGCCTTCTTCAGTGGCTGCCTAATTCACACTCCCACCAACAGTGTGGAAGCACTCCTTTCTCTCCGTAACCTCACCAGCATCTGTTATTTTTTTACTTTTTAGTAACAGCCATTCTGATTGGTGTAAGATGGTGTCTCATTGTGGTTTTGATGTGCATTTCTCTAATCATAAGTGATTTTTTTTCATATGCTGGCCATGTGTATGTATTCTTTTGAAAAGGAACTGCCTAAACTCAAACCTCAAAAGAAATATGCTGCTTTTTGAGTTTTAAATGAAAAATAAAGTGTCAAGAATAAAGATCTTTCAAAAGTGTTATTTTTGAGAGTCTCCAGCATGACTGAAGAAGTAATGAACGCCCATCTCATGTATATCTTCATGGTGCAGGCCACATTTCAGAATTATGTGTTAAGAGATACACACAGTCAAGGGAGTGACCAGCCATTACATTCCAAAACGAATCCCTGTGAAATATAGTATGATCTTTTTACCTTGATTTGTCCAGAACCACTTGGTCATCAGTCTTCCCTCTTTATGATGCACCCGCATGGATTGTGGTAAAGTAGAAACTGTTGAGGACTGAATAGATCAAATATAGACAAAATCGTCAGATAGGCTTTACAGATAAGTTTGCCACATTTTTTCACGTGTAGGCAATTCTCGCTGTCTTCACCGGGGCCGATCTGGAGTGATGCTAACTTACCCCAGTGAGCTTCATCCCCTCTGCTTCAGTTGTCTGGGTCACTGAGTTCATGTCCTGGGGCACAAGAGGTGGGGGAGATAGATAAGAATGCAATTCCCATCAGTTTCCAGATGCCTCATTAGGAAGCTCTGTTTTTGGCCAGACCTGGGGGAGATACCATATAACATAATGTACGCGAGAGGAAAGGCAGTGAAGTTTAGCAGGGCTGAGTTACCCCACCTGAGATACGAGGCTGGGCACCATAGTTCCCCAGTGGTGACACCTCTAATGGGGTAGAGAGATCACTTGGGCATGACTATCTTCAACGCCACGATTGACCTTCCCACCTCCATTCCTTTTCTGCCCTCCCTCTGTAGTCTGGGCAGAAAGAAGGAAGAGATTTCTTCTGGAGGGCAAGATACACCTCATAAGAGCGCCTCTCCACAAAGCCCCCCTTGTGATCATGGAAGGCAGGCAAAGGTTGGTGCCCTTGGGTGGGTGTCTCTTGATCTGGAATGGAGGGTGGGAGCTGGTGAGATCAGTGCTCTTGGGTGGCATCTCTTGCTCTGGATTGGAGGCCAGGGGCTGGTGCTAGCCCTTCCCTCACCTTTGAAAACTCCCTTGGCTATAGAGAGCAAGATGGGAGGACACAGGCAGGGCCGGCCCCAGTGTAGCTGCCAGCTGGGGCTTCCATATGCCTTCCCCAGCCTTCCTGCAGATCCACTGCGGATGGTATCACCCAGACCCCTGCCTGCAGCCGAGGCCCACGCCCCTCTCAGATGGCACTCCACCAATCCCAAGAAAGGGGTAATGAGCCCCAAGAATGTCTGCCTTTTAATGGGAGCCAGTCCAGGCCCAAAGGGTTGTGGGAAAAACAGTGGGCTGGAAGGGGCCCCTCTGATCTTTGGACTCACATCCTTCAGGAGGACTACAGGCTGCATCATTCATTCCTTTTTATTCAGTAACTGTTCGCGGAGTTTCTGCTCTGTGTTCTCAAGGTTGGGAATCGGCAGCAAATGAGACAAACAGACTCTGCTCTCATGGTGCTGAGGACCTTGAGACCTACAGCTCTAAGCCAGGAAACCCAGCTTTCAAATCACAGCTATAAAGAACACCAGGGGTTATGCACTGAAGAGCAACTGAGCGGGGCTCAGGGAATGCCAAGCTAAGACCTCGGTGAGGAAAGGGAGCCAGGTAAGCAAAAATACAGGGGAAAAGCTTTGTGTGGGGAAAACGTGCAAAGGCCCTGGGGTAGGTGGTCTGGAGTATTTAAGGAATGACCAGTGTTTTGCAGCTGGAGGGGAAGGAAGGAGGGATATACAGAGATATCAGCTTACAGAAGTGAGTGGGGCCCTTCACACAGGGCATCATGGGGGAGGTGTGAAGATGGTCCCATGTGTCTTCTGAGGACACTCTCTAGTCTCCTCTGGGGCCCCAAGCATGGGCTGCTAAACCACTCAGGGGACCAGTGGAAAAAAAAAACGTCTGATTCAAAACCCAGTGAAGAAGGCAGGCGTGTTGGCATGTGCCTGTAGTGTCAGCTACTTAGGAGGCTAAGGTAGAGGCTCAAGCCAAGGAGTTCAAGGCCAACCTGGGCAAAATAGAGAGTCCCTGTCTGTCACAAAACAATACAATTAAATAAAGAAAATCAACTGTGGACATCTGTCCTCCTCGCACACCGCTGAAGAGGCTCCTGCCTTCCCTGGCAGTCCCTTCATCTGCATCCAGCAGCAGACGATGCCAAGTACACATCTCAGCCTGTTGTATTCCCAACAGAGGAGGCGGAGCCAGGACGCCAGCCCATTCTTTCTACTTAATCTGCTTCCTCTACTGTTTAATTAGACCAGTTCTTCTCAATGGCGGGGTGCTGTTTCCCCCAGGGGACACTGGCAATTTTTGGTTGGCACTAAAGGAGCAGGGGTGCTGCTGGTATCCGGCGGTAGAGGCAGGGGTGCTGCTAACATCCTGCAGCACATGCGACAGCCCTCAACACCAGAAAATCATCCCATCCAAAATGCCAGTCCGTAGATCAGAAGGAAGATGAGCCTGGGGAGAGAACTCGAGAGGATTTTGCTCCAGAAAAAAATGACCCACAATAAAGCTGGCTCAGCTCCTTTCAAAATTAAATACCTTCCTTCTCTGTCACACACTGGAAACCGAGCAAGTTTCTATTTCAGGCTGTGGGGTGGGTTAGCGTCGGCTTGGCTGGCTGGCTGGCGGAGGCTCCGATTCATCATGGACAGCTAAGTGTGGTTTGCTGTGTGTCAGAAGGCTCAGGAGGGGCTAGGGCAGCGAGTGTGCGGGGCAGACCACCCTCATCTCCGTGGCATTGGAGCTTCCAGAGGCTGGAGCACACCCAGCCTGCTCCTTCCTGTGGGAAGTGGCTAAATGTGAAGCGTAAAGCTGTACGGACTTCCTGGCATGGTGGATTTTCACTTCTGAACTTGTTCCCCCCTCTTTTTACTTGCCTTATGAAGCTCCCAAATTCACGGCCAGGCACAGTGGCTCATGCCTATAATGCCAGCACTTTGGGAAGCGGAGGCAGGCAGATTGCTTGAGGCCAAGAGTTGGAGACCAGTCTGGGCAACATAGCAAGATCCCCTCCAGAACTGGGAGATAATAAATTTCTGCTGTTTAAGATACCCAGTCTGTGGTTCTTTGTTATGGCAGCCTTGGCAAACTAATCCACATCCTTAGAGCTATGAGGGGTTCAAACATTTCGTCTCTACAAAATAAATAAATTAAGTGCTCAAATCCAAAGCAGAGGTGTGTGTAGAAATACCTTAAATAGGTCTGACAGTGATGTCATTGTACAACATGGCTGTCAGGGTGGAAGTGTGTCTCCCAAAGCTGATATGTTGAAGCCTGAACCCTTGGTAGCTCAGAATGCAACTCTGTTTAGACATGGGGTCTGCAGAGGGGTAATTAAGGTAAAGTGAGGCTATTTGAGTAAGGCCCTAATTCAGTCTGATTGGTGTCCTCAGAAGAAGAGGAGACAGAAACACACACAGAGGGATGACCCTGTGAGGACACAGGGAGAAGACACAGGCATCTATGAGTCGAGGAGAGAGACCTCAGGGGAAATTTACAAGTCAAGAGAGACCAACCCTGCCACACCTTGGTCTTGGACTCCAGCCTCCAGGACTGGGAGACAATAAATTTCTGCTGTTTAAGACACCCAGTCTGTGGTTCTTTGTTATGGCAGCCTTGGCAAACTAATCCCACATCCTTAGAGCTACGAGGGGCTCAGTCACTCTCCTGTGCAACCTTCCCCCCGGGGTCACCATCTCTTTTATGGACACACTCTGAGAAGCCATCCAACTCAGATCACTATTGGAGATGGAGACCTCACTACATCCCAAAGAACTTGTTTAGCATGGTAGATTAGCTTTCTCTTGTTGCTGTAACAAATTATTTTAATCTTGGGAGTTTAAGAAAATAGCAATTTATCCTCTCATAGTTCTGGAATCTATGTCCAATGTTTGGACGAGTTTGGAAACTCGTCCAAAACGAGTTTCCCTGGGCCAGCTCCCTCTAGGGGCTGCGGGGGAGAATCTGTTTCCTTGCCTTTCCCAGCATCTGGAGCTACATTTGTTGCATTTCTTGGCTCCTCCTCCCTTCCTTCCTCCATCTTCAAAGCCCACAGTGTAGCATCTTCCTTCCTCAATCAGACAGCCCTCTTCTCTTCTGTCTATGTAAAATCTCATTCTGCCCACCTCTTAGAAGAACACTGGAGAGAGCATTTAGAGCCCACCTGGATGACCCAGGACAAACTCCCATCCAAGACCCTTAAGTTAATCACATTTGCAAAGTCTCTGCCATATAAAGTGATGTCTTCACAGGTTCCAGAGATTAGAATGTGGTTATCTTTGTCGGGAGTGGGGAATTCTTCAACCTCACATATATTGGCCTCCTCTCCAAAGCTGAAAGTCACCTCTCCAGAGCTTCCAAGCCATCACTCCTTGTCCTGAACTCTGCAGCAGATAACCCATGTCTAACTCTTCCTATTTGAGATCTTCCTGAGCCTCTGAGAACAGTTCAGATGCACCTTCAGGGGTGCGCATTTCCAGACTGACTGCCCCACGATTTCTCTCCCTCCTTATGGGCTATGGCTTCCTAAGGCCTTCCCAGCCTGTTTCCTCTCCAACAGACTGGAGCTGGTCAATGTCTCTCAAAAAATGTGGCAACAAGAATGGGTGAGATGCTCCAAAATGACTCCACAGCCCAGAGAGCAGCAGGTGCCTGCCCTTCAGTGCCATAGGCCATGGAGCTGGCTTCAGCTTGCTTCGGGTATCTGCACTTCACCTGCAAGGCACTGAGGCCCCAGCACTGGAAAAGCACAAGAGCAGAAATCTTCCACCTTGTCTGCCATGGAGTTCCAGTTCCTGGGAACGCTAGCCCACACCCCTAACTGGGGCTCAGAAAATATCTGTTGACAAAACAAATGTAGCATCAACTCTACTTGCCAGACCTATGAGTAGATATTTATCTTTAATCTTTCAAGATTTCAACTCTGCCACGAATATAACATTTTTTGTCTCATATAAACAATAGTTTCCAGGAAAACAAAAAAGGGTTTTCAACAAACAGAGGGAGCCCAGCCAGAGAAGCTCTAACCCTTTAAGATTCTAAGACACTAGCTAGTACTTTGCAGGTTGGGAGTGTGAAAAGAAGTGACAAAGACCCCTCTTCCTCCCACTTCTGTTAGGAAGTAGGGGAGAGAGAAAGAGAGGGGGAGGAACATTTATGGGATGATGGAGAGTCTAAAAGGAAATAAAATAATTTCCCACATCAAACACTGCAGAGTTCAAAAAATAAGAGTGAAGTCTGATGAGGCCCGAATATTATCAGCTGTTATAAAAGAACGATCTCAATTTCGTTATAGCAGCTAAACTTGTACACATTTGAGTGGAGGAAAAAGTGGACCTCCCAACACAATCCTGTTTTCACGTGAGCAGGAAAGATGCTACTGCAGCCATGGGCCAGCCCAGACAGCCGTCTTCAGCCAGTGTCTGCTGTGTGTACTCAGCTCTTCACTGGCAGCCTCACCTTCCCTCCACCCCGCAGCCTTAATG